AATGAAAGCCCCAGACACCCCGATGTATGGGTGTACTGTGGCTTGGCTAACCAGTCCCCAGTAGTGGACATCTTAGGTGGTTGCCAGTCTCCTGCTATTGAAAGCAGACCAGGCCCTCTGGGTCTCTGGGATTCGCGTAGCTGGTCATGCCGCCAGCAGGCAGTAGCTTAAAGCTGGGTGCTCAGTGAGTCCCTTCCAGCTGGACCTCCTCCCAGGGGGTGTGTCCTGTCTTTTTTCCAGCCCCACTTGTATGCCTCCCTTGGGGATTAGGAGTGTCTGGGTTACAATCTATTTATGTCTCGGAGCTTCTCCAGGGCTGAGTTCAATCTCTGTCGAGGAGCCCAGCACAGGATACCCTTCAGCATATGCTTGTTGAATGGCTGCTGGGCTGGAGCAGTCAGTGCACCTCCTGCGGATGGGTCCCCTCGCAGTGCCGTGCCTGCTGTGGATGGGTTAAATTTCGATGCTCCTTAGGACTCCCCTGTCGCAGGGGTCCTCAAACTACGGCCCGCGGGCCACATGCAAATACAAATATTGTATTTGCTACCGTTTTGTTTTTTTACTTCAAAATAAGATATGTGCAGTGTGCATAGGAATTTGTTCATAGTTTTTTTTAAAACTATAGTCCGGCCCTCCAACGGTCTGAGGGGCAGTGAACTGGCCCCCTGTTTAAAAAGTTTGAGGACCCCTGCCCTATTGTATAGCACAGGCTGCTCCAGCCAGCCAGAGGGCCAGAGGCATGCCCCTGGCGTTTGGGTGCAGGGGGTGGGAGATGGTATTTCTTCTGGATTAGTCACTCTAGGATGAGTCATTTCACTCACAGAAGTGTAAGCAGTTTTCTTTCCTCTTTTATTTTAACTTTTTTTTTTTTTAATTTTAGAGAGAGAGGAAGGGAGAGGAGGGGAGAGAGAAAAACATCGATGTGAGAGAGAAATACTAATCAGCCAATCCCTGCACGTACCCTGGCCAGGAACCAAACCGGAGGCCCCCACTACACAGGATGATGCTCATCCAACTGAGCCACACCAAGCCAGGGCTCAACAGTTTTCTTTCTTTCTTTTTTTAAAAATATTTTTATTGATTTCAGAGAGGAAGGGAGTGGGAGAGAGAGAGAGAAACATCAACGATGAGAGAGAATCCTTGATTGGCTGCCTCCTGCATGCCCCTAACGATTGATCGAGTGTGCAACCCGGGCATGTGCCCTTGACTGGAATCGAATCTGGGACCCTTCAGTCCGTAGGCCTTCGCTCTATCCACTGAGCAAAACTGGCTAGGGCCAGTTAAGAAAACTGTCAACAGTTTTCTTAATATCTCTTACCGAGTAGTCTACTTGAAATGCCTACACACCTTGCTTTTATTAAGCTAATCTATGACAGCAGTATTATTTGTCCGCCCAAGTGCCAGTTAAATAAACCGCCTTGGTGCCATTCTCGGTGCCCTGATGGGGCAGGAAAGGGGTTCTGTGTTTCTGGCCCAGTTGGACCCAGTTTCTGTGCTGTGGGGGTCATGTTCTTTGGAGCTGCTCTAGGCTTCAGAAGTGGCTGGGGTTATGTGTTGGGAGATCCAGTTATTTCAGAACTGGAATAGCCATCTCCTGGAGTCAGCAGTCTGTCCAGCCACCTGGCCAAACTGCATAGCAAAAGATGAATCATTCATTCACGTAGTAAATACCTGTGCCAGTGACTGTGTTAGTGCTGGAAGGTGAATGATATGGACCTTCTTGCCTAGGGAGCTGGTGACTTAGTGGCAAGAAAGGCAAGGAAATGAGTTCTCAGAGATGTCCTACCTTTATCCAGGAACTGAAGCCTTTACTGTGAAGAACGTGGGCCAGGAGTCAGGCCGACCTGGGACAGTTATGTCTCTCCTCTTATAGCTTTGTGGCTGGGCGGGCTTCTTCACTAGTAAAATGGTGAGATAATAGGACCAATTTCAACTGTTCTGAGGCTATAAGGGAAGGAAGGCCTGATTGGGAAACACTCAGCATGGTGTCCGGGCCACAGGAAGCTCTTTAAGTGGCAGCTGTGACTATTGTTGCAGTTACTTGGGGTTATAACGAACCTTCTCATGATAAAAATAAGAAACACTCGCCGAAACCGCACTTCATAGATCTTCCCGCTGCTTGGCCTTGGGAAAGGGTTTGGAACGTGACTTAGCCTCACAGAAGCTTCTCCTTTCTCTGGAAAAGCTGGTGCCTGTCTTGTCCTTTGACCTGCCTCTGGGAGGCCAGTGAGGGGCGAGAGCTGGATCTTCCAGGGGGCTGGGGCCTGCCTGCTGTTCTCACGTGTTGAGTGCCGAATGCCTTTGAGGTGTCAGCCTTGACCTTGTAGTGAACCGAAACCTCAGGAAGCTTAAATGGTGTAGGGTTTTGTTAGATGCTTCACGCCCCCTTAATCAGGTTTTCTGAGAATCAGTGTGATGACTGGAAAGGTGAGCTGAGGTGTTTTTCCCGGGGTTGTCGTCCGTGGACCAGAAGATTTAAGCAAAAGTGTGGAAAATTTATTACAAGCAGATTCAGACTCCCTGAAAGGGAGGGGTCCCAATAATGGGCTTCCCCCCTAAAGCCTTGTAGTCCAGGGGTACACTAGTATATTTGTTAAAAGCCTGCTCTAGTCTATCTGTGTTGTCACCTGATTGATTCCTCAATTCTTCTAGCCCAGCAACAGACCTGAACTGTCCCTGTTTCGATGTATTCCTTCTCTGTCCCTGTGCTGGACTCTCCCTGTGTCTGTGTGTTCTCTCTCTGTCCCTGTGCTGAACTTTCCCTGTTTCGATGTGTTCTTTCTCTCTTTCTCCGGTTCGTACTCCTTGTTGCTACAGGCCCTCCCTTGGTTTCCCATGCCTCCCACTTTGAGTCCAGAAACATTTTATTATTTCTGCTTGGTTGGTTCCTGTGATTAGCCTGCTCAAACCGCCGTGTCTGCCTCTGCCTATGTTCCACCTGCCTTTGTTTCCCACTGGACCCTGCCCTATCTGCCTGCATTTCAAGTTAACCCTCTTGACTGCTTTAAATAATTTGTTTCATGAGTAACTTATTTTGTACTTATGGCTAAGGCATTGTGCTAAGCTCTGTGGGGAATATATGGCTTCTGGTTTTAAGAATTTTATTTCCTGCCTTAACCAGTTTGGCTCAGTGGATAGAGCGTCGGCCTGCGGACTCAAGGGTTCCAGGTTCGATTCCGGTCAGGGGCATGTACCTTGGTTGCGGGCACATACCCAGTAGGGAGTGTGCAAGAGGCAGCTGATCGATGTTTCTCTCTCATCGATGTTTCTAACTCTCTATCCCTCTCCCTTCCTCTCTGTAAAAAATCAATAAAATATATTTAAAAAAAAAGAATTTTATTCCCTATAGGTATAATAAGGCAGTTGTACATATTTTTAAGAGGAAAGGCTGAGGCTGTGTCTTACAATAATGATAAGATTAGCTATTCTTTATTGATTACTTAATATTTGCTGCTGCACTGATCATTTTAGACACTATCTTATTTTTTATTAATCCTCACCTGAGAATATTTTTCTATTGATTTTTATAGAGAGTGGAAGGGAGGGGGAGAAACACAGAGAGAGAACATTGATGTGTGAGAGAGACATTAATTGGTTGCCTCCCACATGAGCCCAAACTAGGGCCAGTGATCGAGCCTGCAACTGAGGTACATGCCCTTGACCTGGTCTGCAGGCCAACACTCTATCCACTGAGCCAAACCAGCTAGGGCTAGATACTATTTTCTTTAAATTCCATGACTATCTCGTGAGAAAGGTACTATTTTTCTAACTTCTCAGAGAGCCCAATGTGTGTAATAAGGGATGGAGTTACCGGGGCAGTAGAATGTGGAACTTCAGAGAGGAAGAGACAGTTTCTGTTTTCTGTGGTGGGAGAAAAAGATCAAGGGCATCTTTTAAAATTTTAAAATATTTTTTCTAAATATTTTTATTGATTTCAGTGAGGAAGGGAGAGGAAGAGAGAGACAGAAACATCCATGATGAGAGGGAATCATTGATAGGCTGCCTCCTGCATGCCCCCTGCTAGGGATCGAGCCCGCAACCCAGGCATGTGTCCTCGCCGGGAGTTGAACTGTGACCTGGTTCATAGTCAACACTCAGCCATTCAGCCACACCGGCTGGGCTTTCATATAGATCAAGGCATGTTTATGAAGAAGGGGCATTTGAATTGGGACCAGAAGAGTGGATAGGATTTTGGGAGGTGGAACCTCAGAGCTTTAACGAGGAAAAAGGTGAGGAGTATATGGATATTGGTAATCGATTCCTTCGCTTTCCGTGGTCACCTTTTTCACTTAGAGTGGAAGCCGTGGGTGGGAAGATAGGTGATTACATGTCCTTTGAGTCTCACCGTTGGGCTGGGGAGACACATGACTTCCACATGACATGAATGTGCCTGCAGTCAGGCAGAGGTAAACTCTAGTCAGCCGCTGAGTCTTGAGTAATCAGGAGGGAGGAGAATTAGTAGGGGCTGGAACAGTAGGGGAGGAAGTTTTAGGGAGGAGATGGAAATTCAGATGGTTTTAGAACATCCGAGTACATCAGAAATCTGACCTTGAGAATTAGTCTGTTTGCAGGGTTTGAAAGAACTTCTCTGTCAGGACCAGTAAGCTATGCATTGGAGAGGCTGGTTGGCCTTGATGGGCCAGACAGTGGGGAGAGGGGGGTGTTGGGAAGATTGTTTCAGCGACTGCTTTTGTGAGAGAATATGACCTGGCTCAGTCTGGGGATGGGGACACGTGGGTGGGTATCCTTGGGTTGCAGCACAGGTTTTCTCGAGGGAGGAGAGGAAGAAGCTGCTACCATCAGCACCAGGAAGGATGCATACAAATGGGTGTCCCAGGGAGGTCGGGAATTACCCCTCCCTCAGTGGACTGTGGTCTCATGTCAAGCTTCTGATAATGCCCTGCTCCACGTAGCTCCTGCCTCTGGCTCTGCCCTGATGCCCTTCACTGCTCAGTGTCCTCAGATTTCACCCAAGTATGAGTATTCAGGTGGGGAACCCTAGTATGATTGGATCTGGGTCCCTGGGAATGTGTGTGGTAGCGGAGAGGGACAGCATCATGAGGAGTGAAGGCGAGGAGATGTCCTCAGGTGAGACTGACAAGCTGCCAACACATGGAGAAGCTCCTTACATAGAATGGTCAGGGAGGACTTCAATAAGCCAAGGCTTAGATTTAAGGGTGTTGCTTTTGAGGAGATGGTGAGATGACCAAGTGGAGCCACCTAGAGCCTCAGTATATTCTGTCCTCCTGTCACAAAGCTAAGAAACTTACAAGTGGCCTCCCAGGTGCTGGCCCCTGCCACCCTCATGGCAAGAGAGTCCTGCTCCCTGCACTGGCAATGGATCCCCTTTCAGGGCAATAGCTTGACAACTAATGTGCTTGTTCATTCAGTCAGCAAGTGTTCACTGAGGCCGTGTCATGTGCCAGCCACTCTGCTTGTGGGGACAGCACAGGATGAGCCTGTCTCGGCTGTCGCCTAGAGGTCTGATCCCCTCGAGGTGTGATGTCATAGCTCTTGGCTGTCATATTTATTTTTCTTATTATGCTTTCTGTAATTTTATTATGCTTTCTGTAATTTTATCTTTTATTTACTTGACAGATAAAGCCACAGACCCAAGCATGCCAGAACAGGATTGGTCAGCTATCCAGAACTTCTGTGACCAGGTGAACACTGATCCCAATGGGTAAGGTGACCTTCACGCTGGACCACGGGGGTCCTTGGACTAAGTGCATGCCGTTTGTCTTGGGGCTATTTTAATAGCCTTTCTTTTTTTTTCCCCTCCACAGTCTACTGAGAACATCATCTTTTTTTTAGAGATAGCAAATTCATGTGGTTTTTTTTTTTTAAAAAACAAACAAACAAACGAATAGTCAGTTTGTAACTGGCAATTATTTTTAAAATAGCATTATGAAGTAGTCATACTCAGGAGACCTGGATGTTACGTACGGGTAGAAGGTAGCAGCGTGAAAGAGCTCATGTGCTCTCCATAATTTAAATGTAACCTTTCTTTAGAAGAGGCAAGAAAAGGGCAAGGTTGTGTTAAATTTTTTTTCCAAAGCATCTGGACAGGAACTGAAGAATCAGGTGTTTAGTCTGCATATTGCTGACTATTCAGCATTTGGAAATGGGCTAAAAGTTTGATCGCACTGTCTACTCTAGTGTTTATCAGACAACAAACAGGGTCTATGTTGCTCATGACCTGGCTACCCGTAGGCCTGGTCCTGACTGCTCTGCTCGGAGCTTTGGGGTGCATGAGTTGGGGAGGGTGGTGTGTCTGGACAGCAGTAGTTGTGGGAAGGGAAAGTGGGGTTGGCCTCCTTCAGAGGCTTGTGCATGGGCCATGTGCCAGTCACATTCCACCTCTGTTGTGGGACCAAACTCCTGGAAGGGAGGAGACTTCATGGAGCGCACTTAGCCAGACTGTCCGCCCAGAGCCCAGGTGTCTTTGTTTTCCCTTAGCCCAACCCATGCGCCCTGGCTGCTGGCCCATAAGATCCAGTCTCCACAAGAGAAAGAAGCTCTTTATGCCTTAACGGTAAGCTTGGCCCTTAGCCTCAGTTCTCCTGTCCTGAGCCAGAGGGAGCTGGGCCCCAGCCCCATTGTGGAGTGGTGGGGAGCCTGCGAGGTTCACCTTCGCTGGCCACGGAGGCTGGGCTCTGGTCGCCCGTCCTAGGTCTGCTTCTAGAGAGCAGCGCCGAGCTTGCTTTGGGAGAATGAAAGGTTTTATTTCCTTAGCTCTTCATAGACCAGGGCTGGTAAGTTAAGTGCCCACAGGGCCAGACTGGTGACGTAGTGAGTGAGCCACTGGGTGAGGACCAAAATCCTGGAGAGCGCTCACCCAGCCAGGGAAGGATGGCTGCAGTGTGGCACCGGCTGGTATTGCCAGCCATGAGTTTGGGCCCATTGTTGTTAGAACTTCTTGTTTTTAAAGAGAAACCATAAGTCCAGATTTTTGTATGAATTCTCTGAATTAAAAAAAATATATATTTCATTGATTTTTTTAGAGAGAGAGGAAGGGAGAGGGATAGAGATAGAATCATTGATGAGAGAGAAACATCATCAATCAGCTGCCTCCTGCACACCTGTGGGGATTGAGCCCGGGCATGTGCCCTGACCGGTGGCCTCTTGGTTCCTGGCTTGATGTTCAACTGCTGAGCTACGCCAGCCAGGCGTGAATTCTCTGAATTTTTTTATGTTGGTGACTAACCTGACATGTTTAACAGTAGTGTGGACCAAAGAAAATGTGTGTAGGCCCCACTTGCATGCCAGCAGGGGACGTGTGGCTCAGCAATTCATGGGCCTTACATACTGGATGTGGCCTCTGAGTGGGAGGGAGTCACCTGCCCAAAGGATCTCAAAGGTACACACACCACTGAGCTGTTTTCTGGGCACAAACCTGTTAGATATAGCAAGATCAAATAGGTGCTTTTTAAAAAAAATCTGAAAATGTTACCCTTTCCCCCAAACTTCACTGTCCTCATAGTCCCAAGTAAAAACTAGCTCTGGCTCCAGCAAGTGCTCATCAGATTTCAGGCGAGCCTGGAGCCAGAGGTTTTCCCATTCTCGTGGGAGCCCCGTGTCTGTGCAGGTGCTGGAGACGTGTGTGAACCACTGTGGAGAGAAGTTCCACAACGAGGTGGCCAAGTTCCGCTTCCTGAATGAGCTGATCAAAGTGCTGTCCCCAAAGGTGAGTGCCGTGGTCTTGGCCCTGCTTACTGTACTGCACCTGGCTCAGCCTTCAAACTCTTGCCCCCTCCTGTGTACGGCCTGTCTCAGGTTTGTGAAGGAGCTGAGAGAGGAGGCCCTAGATGGCAAAGCTCTCTTCTCCAAGGTCGAGGATGACTTTGCTGATCCCTGCCCTCCATTGTTAGCATCTTTACATTATTCTCCCTTTAAAAATGGCCTTTTGGCCCAGACTGAGGGGCTCAGTTGGTTGAGTGTTATCATGTGCACTGAAAGGTTGCCAGTCTGATTCTTGGTCAGGACACATACTTAGGTTGCAGGTTTGGTCTAGGTTGGGGAAGGCAACCAATTAATGTTTCTCTCTCTCTTCCTCTTCCTTCTTCTCTTTCTAAAATCAATAAAAATCCTATGTAATAAAAGACTAATATGCAAATCAACCGAACAGCGGAACGACCGGTTGCTATGATGCGCACTGACCACCAGGGGGCAGACGCTCAACGCAGGAACTGCCCCCCTGGTGGTCAGTTCACTCCCACAGCGGGAGCACCACTCAGCCAGAAGCCAGGCTCATGGCTGGTGAGCGCAGCTGCTGTGGTGGGAGCCTCTCGCGCCTCTGTGGCAGCGCTAACAATGTCTGACTACCAGCTTAGGCCGGCTCCCCGTGGGCTCCCAGACTGCACCACCCCTCAAGTGCATAAATTTCATGCACTGGGCTTCTAGTGTGTGTGTGTGTGTGTGTGTGTGTGTGTGTGTGTGTGTGTGTATTGCCCAATGGCCTTATGGATGGGTGGCCTAGATGGGGAGCACAGGTTTCCTGGTAGACAGCAAGAGATGCTAGATGTGGCTTTAAGTTTCATACCACTTCTTGCCTTGTCCTCTGCACCTTCCCCCCTGGCACCTGTCTCAGCTCCGCATTCTCAGGTAACTGACACAGATGGAGCCTTTCTTTGCTGCTTTCCAGCAACACTTCTCTGATACCAACTGTGTGTCCTACAGTTTAATTCAGTTCAGTTCTGACACTACCCAGAGTTAGTGCAGAGCCTACGTGATCAGGACTTCATGATACTTAGATGATGCCTAATTTAGACACCAGCCATGAGTCTGTTCTTCTGCCTGACCAACTACAGAGTTGGACTTCTCAGACCACCTCCACAAGGTTCCATATTCACTACAGGAAAGCACTGTACTTACTGTGGTTATAAAGGAGACAAATGGAGGGGATACATGGCCAGGGTCTTGGGGGGAGAGGAGCAAGAGCTTGTGTGCCTTTCCTTATGGCGCCCAGCCCACCACCCTTCAGCACATCCATGTGTTCAGTCAGGGAGCTTGGTGGGCCTTGTTTCAGCTTTACTCAGAGTTCTCGTATGAAGGCACAATGGATTAAATTATTGGCTGGGTGATTGGACTCACTCTCCAGCCCCTCTCCTCTATTGGGTTCAAATGAGGCTGAAAGTTCCAACCCTCTGATCACATGGTTGGCCTTGTGGCATAGTCAGCCCCTCCCTTGAAATGAATTCCCACCCTGAGGTTAGCTTAAACTCAGGTCTGGTCCAAGGGGGCTCGTTGTAAGTAACAAAGATTCCTATCACTCAAAAACTTCCAAGGGTTTTTGAAACTCTGTGCCAGAACTGGAGACAAAGAACAAACATGTTCTTTATTATTCCTCACCTGCCCCAGTCAAACAATGAGTGTCTCCAGTGGCTCTAACCTAGGCCAATATATGGTGGGTTTTAATTTTAGTTCCTTGTCCCAGGTGATTTGACTTCTGGCTGAGCTTCAGCTCTCAACCTGGGGCAGTTCTCCGCTCCGGCGTCAGCAGCATCTCCGCCAGCTCTGTAATTCTCCTTCCTAATTGCTTTCAGTACCTAGGGTCCTGGACCACAGAAAAGGTTAAAGGAAGAGTCATCGAAATCCTCTTCAGCTGGACAGTCTGGTTTCCAGAAGACATTAAGATCCGAGATGCTTATCAGATGCTGAAGAAACAAGGTCTGATTTCCATTATTTGCGCTGTGTTCCCTTTTTCACAGCACTTGTTCCTTTTTGCTGTTTTTAGTGCTTTGTGCTTTGTTGGTGAAAACTGTACAGTGGAAACCGAGACAAGTAATTTTCACTGTCTAGCAGTGGGCAAACCTCTCCTGCTGGTGGCAGGAGCTAGCTGGTTTGAGATTGTTGTTGCTGGGGTTGTCCTCACTGTAGCAGACTTCAGGTTCCTCCAGGGTTAGCTTGTGGTGAGGGTATGGGCTGGTTTGCTAGAGCTTTTCTCAGTGTCTGCTGCTCTTAGCTGAGGTCGTCCTCAGTGCCTCAGAGACGGTCTTGCGCCCTTGCCTTTCCTGGCAGGAGATAGACCACTGTTGCTTGTTAGTGTCGTCATCTCTGCTCTGACTAGGCCTCAGTCTGAGGCAGGCACTGTGTCCCTGGTCTCGGAGATAGAGACCCAGACACTGACACCCGGGGAGGAGGACAGCCTGTTCCCCCCGAGCTTCTGTATTCTCTGTGAGGTTGTATGCTGTGTCCTGTGTGGCACTGGGAATCCATGCTCCCTTCCCCTGGGCTCTGTAGAGGAAGGACCTGGGTTTGGGATGGGCTATTTTCCCGTCACATGGACTCAATGACTTTAGGAGTGTCAGGGATCCTGCTGTAGCTTTTGGGCCCTGGGAGGTATGTACCTGAATAAAATGGTAAGTATTTTTATAGCATAGACTCTGTAGGCTGCTAACCATAGGCTCTGGTTCTGCTCTGACTTGGTCGGCCCTGATGTCTTGGTGCTGGTTCCTTCGGTTCTCTGGAGGGAGGATGCAGATTGTACCCTGGATGTATCTTTGAAGGCCGTTGACAATGTTGCCTGTCTGGGCATCAGGAACTGGGGCTTATACGGGATCCTGATGAAGTCAGTGGGTACCCGTATCAGTATCTTCACTTGATGAATTGCATGTTTCAGGAATCGTAAAGCAAGACCCTAAACTACCAGTGGATAAAATCTTGCCCCCACCTTCTCCCTGGCCCAGGAGCTCCATCTTTGATGCTGATGAAGAAAAGTCAAAGGTAAGGAGCTCTTCTCTGACCTTGGTGGCCTACCTGGAATCTGCTCAGACCCCTTCTTGTAGGGGCTCCCTTCAAATGTCCCCTGGAATGTCTTCTGAGCCCTGAACATGTGGTTGGCCCTGATGTGAGTTCTCTCTGGAGCAGGTTTTTACGAGTGAGGTAGCATAAGGGTTGGGTGTTTTCTGTGGTGCAGATGGTCAGTCATATGGAAATAACCTGTCGTATGTTGGCTTAGGTCTTTTTAGTGCCAGTAAGCCTGGCATTTTCCTCCCCTGCCCCCCCCCCCTTTGTTTTAAAAAACTTGTGGACATTTTAATGAACTTCCTTCTATGTAGCTTCAAGCCACCAGGACACAGGCCCCACCAACACCCTTCATCTTCTCAGCTCTTCTGCTGAAGAACTGGGCCTTCATGATGACAGGCTGCTTTGGAGCTTTCCCTTCCCCAGAACTTTGTAGTAGCCGATCGCACCACATCGTGAAGGAGCAGCTCCAGTCTTGCTCTTGACAGCATTTCCCCGTGTCTGCTCACTGACCAGGGCCCACAGTTTATCGAGGCTGACAGTTGGGCAGAAGCTCTGGTTCCCCTTTAAGTGGTAATGTCTCATACCCACTTTCCCAAAGTAGCCTGGGTGATATTGGTCGAAGTTGATCCTGTGACGATGCAAGCCGCCAGCATTACCTCGGCCCTCTGTGCTTCCTGTGCTTGCCAATGTGGCCGTGGCCGTGGCTCATGTGGCCCCGAAGTTTCCGGGTCTTCTTCAGTCTGGATGGCATGTCGGTGGCCAAGACGCAAAAGACCTACCCATTTTCCTTCTACTACTGCCTCCAAGAATCTTCAGACATCAGTAAGGGGAAGGAGGTGGTCAAAACCCAGGCCAAGCCCCTGGGTTACCCTAGAGCAGTGGTTCCCAATGTGGGCACATGCCGCACAGGGGGGCAATTTGATTTTTAAGGGGGGCAATTCAAGAATGAGTTATTAACAGTGAAATTGTGCACTTCTTATGGTTCTAGGGTCCTCATATGCAGTATATAAATACATATTGTGACATATTTATGCATCAGTTCTCTATTACATGTTTTGAAACTTTATTTGCTATTTTTTCATATCACTTCATATTTTTTTTTAAACAATTTCTTAGTGATTTCTTCCTCAGTACTTCAGCTGTCCTTTTGTTCTTTTATTTTTCTCTTTCATGGGTGCCATGTTCTTTGGAAGCTTGTTTAGACCAAGATAATGGCCGTTTAGGCTTCCTCCATGTGAATGGGAGTGCACTTTTTGAATAATGAGAATTATATACCACGGGGGAGTATCGGGATTTAAGAGATGCTTAGGTGGGGCGTGGCCAAAAGAAGGTTGGGAACCACTGCCCAGCGCATCAGTGGTGTTGGTGCTTTGGGTCGTTCCTGGTCTTGGTCCCTCACAGGTCCGGTAAGTGCAGTACCAGGAGAGCGCCAGGCCATATGTGTGTCTCTCTGGTACCCATGGCCTTCCAGCTGTGCCTTCCTTCCCTGGACCAGATCCTCAGGGGCATGGCATCCTGGAGGCAGATGAGCAGGGCTGCTCTGTGCTCCCTGGCTCCTCTCTGCTGGTGTCTAACATTGCAGAGCGGGGAAGGAGCAAGGGAGGAGTTAGGGCTTGGACTTCTGAGAAAGAAACCCGAGAGAGCTGCTTACACTCTCTGGGCTTAGTAGCCTTATCTTTTCTGCCCTCCATCCACCAAAGATTGAGTGACTCCTATGTGCCAGGTGTTCTGCTGGGCATTGGGAATAAAGCAAACAAGACCGCCAAGGGCTGCCGCATCGTAGAATCCATGGTCCAGGACAACTCGACACTATTGACCTTTGGGCAAGCTAGTTTTCTTGTTGGGGCTGCCTGTGCACTGTAGGATGTTTACAGCATCAGTAGCATCCCCAATTGTGACAACCAGCGTGTCTCCCGACTTTGCCAAGTGTCTTCTGGGGGCTATCATCCTCCACCACTGAAAGCAGTGGTCTGTGGAGATAGTGGTAGTACTTACATGGCTGCATGATCGCACAGATTTGCTCAGATCAGATAATGCATGTGAAATGTAAAGCTCCTATTAGTGTTAGCTCTTCTATTGCTGATGCCACACATTTGACACCATGGGGAATAGTTCAACCTACTCTTCTTGTTCACCTGCAGCTTCTGACAAGGCTTCTGAAGAGCAGCCACCCTGAGGATCTGCAGGCTGCGAATCGGCTGATCAAGAGTTTGGTCAAGGAGGTAGGCGTTTTCCCACTGCATCCTGCAGAACCAGCCTTGGACAGGGCTGCACAGTGTGTGTGTGCACAGCTCTCTGGGAGAGGGATTACCCTACTCTGAGCTGGGGAACAGCCATGTGCTCCCTGAAGTCGCAGGTGGTGACTGGAAGCAGGGGTCATGCTATATGCTTTCTAATTACTTCCGTCCAGGAGCGCAAAGTGTTTCACAGACACCAGTTCTGTCCCAGTGGCAGGTATTGTGTGGACAGATCCAGTTTGGAAATCTGTTTTTCAGAGAGTTAATGCTGGTGGTACAAAGTAGTGGCTCGCCAGCCCCCGGCTGCATTGTCTTCCCCAGGAATCCTGGGCTTGGAGGACTTTCCTCACCGCCGAGCAAGCACTCCCTCCATCCGTTTCATGACTTGCCTGAGCTCTCCCTCGTGCACTGCCCCTTCCCACCCCTGTTCAGGCTTTATCCAGGCCTTCTGCTTCCTCACTGCCATTCTCTCCCAAAGGAGCAAGAGAAATCAGAGAAGGTGTCCAAGAGAGTCAGTGCCGTGGAGGAAGTGCGGAGCCACGTGAAGGTGCTGCAGGAAATGCTGAGCCGGTATCGCAGGCCGGGACAGGCTCCGCCAGACCAGGAGGCCCTGCAGGTACTCTTCTCTAATCGCAAAGAAAGGAAGGGAACAGTTCAGGAGTAGCTAAATGTAACTGACATACTAGAAATTGCACCTCTTTACAGCGTATTTGCTGCGTGTTGATGTGTGTCCATCTGTGCAGCCATTGTTAAGATCAAGAATTCTTTTTTATTTTATTCTCACCAGAGAATATGTTTTTATTGATTTTTTTAGAGAGAGAGAAACATCAGTCGATTGCCTCCTGCACGCACCCTTACCAGGGATCAAACCCACAACTTAGGCATGTGCCCTGACTGGGAATCGAACCCTCAACCGTTTGATACATAGGACAACACTCCAACTACTTGAGCCACCCAGCTAGGGCACAATGAAGAATTCTTTATAGATTCTGGATATACTCTGTGGGTTATCTTTTAACTGTCGTTTGAAGCAAAAAGTTTTTAATTTTTTTTAAAGATTTAAAAAAATTGCTTTTTAGAGAGAGAGAAAGGGAAAGAGAAACTTTGATCAATGTGAGAGTGAAACATTGATCAACTGCCTCCTGCATGCCTCCTATCAGGGATGGAGCCAGCAACCCAGACATGTGCCCTGACCGGGAATCGAACTGTCAGCAACCTTTCAGTGCACAGGACAACACCCAACCAACTGAGCCACACTGGCCAGGGCAAAAGCTTTTAATTTGGAAGTTCAGTTTGTGTCTGTTTTTCTTTTGTTGATGATGCTCTGGTGTCATACCTAAGACACACCACCACTTGGTGTAGCCAGGCAGGGGATGGTGGGAATGTCTGAGTCAGCCATTTTTCCCCCAGCCAAGATAATAACCAGTTACGAGGTAGGAGAAACGCAGCTGGAAACAAAAGTTCATCTTGATAATGGATAAAGCTGATGTTGGAAAATGTAGCAAGTAAGTACCGGCCAGTGGCTTGCTGATACTGAACCCTAGAACCGGGCAGGTTTACCTGCCACCTAAGATGTTGCTGGCTCACCACTGTCCTTCCCACAGGGGTTCCTTCTTTAACACTTAGAGCAGGTAGGAGCAGATGCAATTGTGGGCTTCCATAGAGGCAGGTCACACTCCAGAGCACAGCTGAAGGAAGGGGCTCCTGCTTCCTCTCCCGGACTCGCCTGTTGGATGGGCTGTTTCCTCTGCGCCGGGAGAGGGCTGGAGTGTTATCGGAGCTCCCGTGCAGGGAGGGAGCTTGAGGTGTGCAGAAGCTGTGTGCTCCTCAGCAGTGTGTGGACGGTGAAGTGGTCTGGAGCAGCGGTCGCCAACTGGTGGTCCATGAGGTCCGAAAGGTTGGCGACCGCTGGTCTGGAGCACTCTCCCTGCGATGACGGAGATGAGCTTTCCCACGTGGTGTTGGGTGTAGGGTGAGGGGGTGAGGTTTAGTTCTGGAGAACCTGTGGTGGGAATCATGGGAATGTTGCTCTAAAGAGAATACTGGCCCCGACAGCAGTTGGATGGGAAGTCTCCACAGGCTTCCACGGAGGGTCATTCATTGCAAGCTGTTCTTGGGGAAGCAGGGGAAGGGAGCTTGAAGAAGAGTATCTTGTACACTGACATAGTAGTTTCTTTCTGAGCTAAAGTCTTTTAAAAAACATTATTAATGGATTTGGGAGAGAGGAAGGGTGAGAGAGTGAGAAACATCGATTTGTTGTTCCATTTATTTACGTATTCACTGGTTGATTCTTGTATGTGTCCTGACCGGTTGGTGGTGAACCTGCAACCTTGGTGTATTGGAATGACACTCTAACCAACTGAGCTGCCCGGCCAGGGTTGACCTAAGGTCTTATCACCTTTTTAACTATTATTTAAAAAAATTCTTATACAATTGTAGTCCAGACTGTTTCTGAAACTGTAACTGCCCTGTCACTTCAAACCTGCAGTCATGAATTTGGGGCTGATGGAGGAGAGCTCCTGGGGCCCGGCTCTGCACATGCTTACGCACACCCTGGCCTTCCTGTGGGTCCTGGGTGTGTGGTGAGCGGAGTTCTGTTTCCCAGGTTGTGTATGAGAGGTGTGAGAAGCTGCGGCCCACCCTGTTCCGGCTGGCGAGTGACACTGTGGACGATGACGACGCACTAGGTAACGGCTCCCTTTCTCTCGGCACAGGCAGCAGCCCAGGTGCAAGCAGGCGTGCTCCTTCCTGTTGTGCCTCCGGGGTGCCAGGAACAGGCAGAATGGACTTTCGGGTTTATGGTGATGGGCTCAGGAAGGGCATGACCTAATTTGACTTAGAACTGATTTCTAGAAGAATCTAGTCTTGAGCAAGAAATCAGCATCTGGTCTGAAAGCATGGAAAGAGGAAATTTACCATGTAGATTGGGTGTGAGGGTGAGAGAAGAAAGAGTAGATAGTGCTGGTGGCCTGAAGAAAGGCTAGACGTCCCACAGAGGCCCAGCAGTGGCTGCCAGTGGTTATGTTGGAGGTTCCCCCAAACTGGGTGCCTTCAGGGGCTGGACAGGTAACCTAAGGAGTTAGTTGTAGGGAGAGCAGAGCAATTTTTTTAATCCTCACCCAAGGACATGCTTATTGATTTTAGAGAGAGGGAAAGTGTGGGGGAGGGAGAGAGAGAAACATCAGTGTGAGTGAGAAACATCACTGCATTGCCTTCCTACATGTACTCCCCCCGACTGGGGATCGAACCTGCAACCTAGGTATGTGCTCTGACCAGGAATTAAACTGTGCAACCTTTTGATGTACAGGATGGTGCTCCAAACAACTGAGCCACATGGGCTAGGGCAGGAGAATGGAGAATTTTAGTACCTGAACATGGGTATTAAAACATTTTGTGTTGCCAAAACCGGTTTGGCTCGGTGGATGGAGCGTCGGCCTGCGGACTGGGGGGTCCCGGGTTCGATTCCGGTCAAGGGCATATACCTTGGTTGCGGGCACATCCCCAGTGGGAGGTGTGCAGGAGGCAGCTGGTCGATGTTTCTCTCTCATCGATGTTTCTAACTCTCTATCCCTTTCCCTTTCTCTCTGTAGAAAGTCAATAAAAATATATTTAAAAAAAAAACATTTTGTGGGGGGGGGGAAATGGGGGGATAAGGACACATATATAATACCTTAATCAATAAAGAAAGAAAGAAAAAAAATCAATCCATTCTGGAAAAAAACAAACAAAAACACAACATTTTGTTTGCCCAGCCAGTATGGCTCAGTGGTTGAGTGTCGATTCATGAACCAGGAGGTCACGGTTCTATTCCTGGTCAGGGCACATGTCCAGGTTGCAGGCTTGATCCCATGGGGGGAGGGGGTGTGTGTGCAGGAGGTAGCTGATCAATGATTTTCTCTTATCATTGATGTTTCTATCTCTCTCTCCCTCTCCCTTCCTCTCTCTGAAATCAATGAAAAATCCAAAACATTTTAGCCCTAGCTGGTTTGGTTCAGTGGATAGAGCATTGGCCTACAGACTGAAAGGTCCTGGGTTTGATTCTGGTCAAGAGCACATGTCTGGGTTGTGGACTCAGTCCCCAGTAGGGGACATGCAGGAGGCAGCCAATCAATGATTTTCTCTCATCATTAATGTTTCTATCCCTGACTCCCTTCCTCTCTAAAATCAATTAAAAAAAAACAACCCTATTTTAAAAATTTGTTTTTTATTGAAACTCCCCAAACACATCAGAAAGGGGAATAGTAGAATAAATCCTATGTACTCTTCTATTGACAATGACCAACTTGTGACCAGTCTTTCTATTTTGTTTCTTCTGTAGCACTCTTTCCCTCCACCCCCCATTCTATTTTGAAGCAAATTCCAAACATTTCAAAGTAATTAAATATCCAGTCAGTGTTCAGAGTTCTCTGGCGTTTCCCTCTTTAAGTACTTCTTGCTACTGTTTGCCCCCCTCCTTTTTAAATAGTTTGTTCTAAACCAGACTCAAAAGAAAAACCATACTTTGAAATTGGTTAATATTTTTTAAAAATATTTTTTATTGATTTTTTACAGAGAGGAAGGGAGAGGGATAGACAGAAACATCGATGAGAGAGAAACATCTATCAGCTGCTTTCTGCACATCTCCTACTGGGGATGTGCCCACAACCAAGGTACATGCCCTTAACCGGAATCGAACCCGGGACCTTTCAGTATGCAGGCCGACGCTCTATCCACTGAGCCAAACCGGTTAGGGCAGCGGTTCTCAATCTGTGGGTCGCGACCCCTTTGGCGGTCGAACGACCCTTTCACAGGGGTCGCCTAAGACCATCCTGCATATCAGATATTTACATTACGATTCATAACAGTAGCAACATTACAGTTATGAAGTAGCAATGAAAATAATTTTATGGTTGGGTCACATGAGGAACTGTATTTAAAGGGCCAGAAGATTGAGAACCACTGGGTTAGGACTATATATATATATTTTAAATATGTTGTTTTCATTTTTTTTAAATATATTTTATTGATTTTTTACAGAGAGGAAGGGAGAGGGATAGAGAGTTAGAAACATCGATGAGAGAGAAACATCGATCAGCCGCCTCCTGCACATCTCCTACTGGGGATGTGCCCGAAACCCAGGTACATGCCCTTGACCGGGATCGAACCTGGGACCTTTCAGTCCGCAGGCCGACGCTCTATCCACTGAGCCAAACCAGGTAGGGCTGTCCTTATTTTTTGTGTGAAAAATTTGTCCTTTGACTTGCAGAGTTTCTTTTGGTCTCAGTTTTCTGATGGCATCCCTCATGGTGTTTAGCATTAGTCTCTATTCCTGAGATTCCTTATCAGTGGGATCAGGGGGTTTCATCAGATTCAGGTTCAACTGGGTCGGGCCAAGGGGAACAAGAATACTTCATAGGTGGTGTTCAAGAGGCCCGTAGTGTCTGGTTGTTGGCAGGAAGCAATGGGGGGTCCCTTCTGGGAGGTAACCTTCTGGCACTTTAGCCTCCATGGCCCCTGGCCCTGTGCTCTCCTGTCTGTCTCTCCTGGGAGCGATTTTTTACAGGTAAACCAGACCATGAGAGGCTCATGTAGTTTTTGAAATCTGGATGTATTTTACACTTTCAGGACATTTTAATTTGGACATTAAATTTTCATCAGGAATACTTGATCTATATTTAGATTTTAAAAGGGGAGATTCATATAACAGTTGGTTCCCTACATACTTAAAAGCTTTTTACTAACTGAATAAAGTACCAAAAAATTCTTTTAGTATTTGCATTCACATTGATAAAACAGCTTTCTGTTTTAATTTTAGATTAATTAAAATAAAGTTTTAGTTCCTTAGTTGATGGAGTCATATTTCAGCAGTTGGCTATCGTGTTGGACAGAACAGGCATAGAAAGTGAAAAAATTTGGAGGAGGGAAGAGAAACCAAGATGGCGGCATAGGTAAACACCAGAGATTGCTGCCTCGCACAGCCACTTCAAAAATACAACTAAAAGACGGAACGGACATCATCCAGAATCACAGGAAAGCTGGCTGAGTGGAAATTCTACAACTAGAGGGAAAGAGAAAAGCATACCGAGACTCAGAGGAGGTGCGGTGCAGAAGTAAAATACAGAGGTACAGAGGCGCATGTGGAGAGGGCTGGCCGCTGAGGACACGGTTGTCTTTTTCAATCGGGAGGGAGTCTCAAGCTCTGAGCTCCAGTTCTGGGCGAGTCTCTGGGGACCCAGACTCATACGGGAGAAACTGGACAGTTTGGCATTGGTCGGAACTTGAGGGCAGCTTTCTCTTGGGGGTGCTTGCAGCGATTGCCGGGACACTGAGAGGCAGGGCCACTGAGGGCAGGTCTGAGAGCAGCCATAACTGCTCACTCTGCCCTGTTGATCCCCTGGGACCCCGCCACGCCCAAGCCGTGCATGGAGGCTTTTGCATATGAAAGGCCTGGCCCTTTGCAATCTGATAATTACCTAACAAACTGCAGCTGGCCCAAGGCCCCAGGGCAACTTGCATTGCATCACAGCTGGCTCCTGCTGGATAGCTTCAGGCAGAGGCTAGATTAGCACCTCCTTAGAGATCCAGGAGCCATTGTGCCCGGTGGTCAGAGTGGGACCATCCAGATTGCAGCTCCTTGGATCCATAAAGGACACACTCAGGGGGCAGACTCAGTGAGCACCAAAGTCCCATTGAAGCAAGTCTTGCCCTGGAGGGGTGTCTCCAGCACAGAAGTTCTCCCACCGTAGACACAGCTGATTCTCACAGCCAATTGGCCTGGAGGTCAATCCCTCCCAGTGTTACCTACAACAATCAAGGCTTAACTACAACAAGACTGTGCACAAAGCCCACAAAGGGATGCACCAAGTGTGTCCACCTCAGGTAATTGGGGAGGCTGAGCCACTGGGCCCTATAGGACACCTAGCACAGAAAGCCACTCTATCGACACAGCGAAGCATAAAAAAATGCAGAGACAAAGAAACAGGACACAAATGACAGAAATGGAGGAAAGCAAACTACTGGATATAGAGTTCAAAACCACACTTTTAAGGTTTTTCAAGAATTTTCTAGAAACCGCCGATAAACTTAATGAGACCCTCAAGAAATCTATTGAGACCCTCGAGGTTATGAAAAAGGACCCACTAGAAATTAAGCATACACTGACTGAAATAAAGAATATTATACAGACTCCCAACAGCAGACTAGAGGATCACAAGAATCAAGTCAAAGATTTGAAATACAAAGAAGCAAAAAACACCCAACCTGAAAAGCAAAATGAAAAAAGAATCCAAAAATACGAAGATAGTGTAAGGAGCCTCTGGGACAGCTTCAAGCGTACCAACATCAGAATTATAGGGGTGCCAGAAGAAGAGAGAGAGCAAGATATTGAAAACCTATTTGAAGAAATAATGACAGAAAACTTCCCCTACCTGGTGAAAGAAATAGACTTACAAGTCCAGGAAGCGCAGAGAACCCCAAACAAAAGGAATCCAAAGAGGACCACACCAAGACACATAATTAAAATGCCAAGACCAAAAGACAAAGAGAGAATCTTAAAAGCAGCAAGAGAAAAAAAGTCAGTTACCTACAAGGGAGTACCCATACGACTGTCAGCTGATTTCTCAACAGAAACTATGCAGGCCAGAAGGGAGTGGCAAGAAATATTCAAAGTGATGAATACCAAGAACCTATAACCAAGATTACTTTATCCAGCAAAGCTATCATTCAGAATTGAAGGTCAGATAAAGAGCTTCACAGATAAGAAAAAGCTAAAGGAGTTCATCACCACTAAACCAGTATTATATGAAATGCTGAAAGGTATCCTTTAAGAAGAGGAAGAAGAAGAAAAAGGTAAAGATACAAACTATGAACAACAAATACACATCTATCAACAAGTGAATCTAAAAATCAAGTGAATAAATAATCTGATGAACAGAATAAACTGGTGATTATAATAGAATCAGGGGCATAGAAAGGGAGTGGACTGACTATTCTTGGGGGGGAAAGGGGTGTGGGGGATGCGGGAAGAGACTGAACAAAAATCGTGCACCTATGGATGAGGACAGTCGGGGGGGGGGGGCGCGGAGGGTGGGGTGGGAACCGGGTGGAGGGGAGCTATGGGGGGAAAAAGAGGAACGACTGTAATAATCTGAATAATAAGGATTTAATTTAAAAAAGAAAAAATTTGGTTCCTCCTCTGTCATGAGAATGGAAATGTAGGGGTTCAGGGATTAAGTGACTGGATCTGATAGAGGGGCCTGGTCACATGATCAGGAGAGACAGGGATAACACCCCATCTGGCAGAGCCATGGGACATCTGCCTTGTGGAATGTCTTAAAAAGGACTACAGCCTGGCCGGCATAGGTCAGTGGTTGAGTGTGGACCTATGAACCAGGAGATCACGGTTCAGTTCCTGGTTAGGGCACATGCCTGGGTTGCAGGCTTGATCCTACACAGCCTCAGTGTGGGATGTGCAGGAGGCAGCTGATCAATGATTCTCTCTCATCTCTGATGTTTCTTTTTTAAAAAAATATATTTTTTTACTAGAGGCCCGGTGCACACAATTTGTGCACTGGCGGGGGCGGGGGGGAGGTTCCCCCTCAGCCCAGCCTGCACCCTCTCACAGTCCGGGAGCCCTTGGGGGATGTCCAACTGCTGGCTTAGGCCCGCTCCCCACGGAGACATCCTTAGGAGAGGCTCCCGCCACGCCGCTACGCTCGCCAGCCTTGAGCCCGGCTCAGGGCTTCTGGCTGAGCGGTGCTCCCCTGTGGGAACGCACTAACCACCAGGGGGCAGCTCATGAGTTGAGTTTCTGCCCCTGGTGGTCAGAGCATGTCATAGCGGCCGGTCATTCCACCGTTTATTCGATTTGCATATTAGCCTTTTATTATATAGGATTGATTTCAGGGAGGAAGAGATATTGAAACATCAATGATGATAGAGAATCATTGATCAGCTGCCTCCTGCACGCCCCCTACTGGGGATGGAGCCCGAAACCCGGGCATGTGTCCTTGACCGGAATTGAACTCGGAACCCTTCAGTTCATAGGCCGATGCTCTATCCATTGAGTCAAATTGGCTAGGTCTCATCACTGATATGGCTATCTCTCTCTCCCTCTCCTTTTTCTCTCTGTAATCAATAAAGAAATATATTTGGGGAAAAAAAGACTGTGGTTATTGGTAGCCAAACTTGGGGACTCTGATTTTTCTCTCATTCTCCAGCGGAGATTCTCCAGGCAAATGACCTCCTCACCCAGGGAGTTCTGCTGTACAAACAGGTGATGGAGGGCCGTGTCATCTTTGGGAACACAGTGACCAGCACAGCAGGAGACACACCTGACTCCAGAGGTAATGTGCAGAGAGCCTCTCTGTACCTGCTGCTTGGAGCAGCCTCAGATCCCAGGAAAGAGATGATCTGCAGAATATCCTGGGTTATGACGTGGAAATGAGAAAACTCTCCCTCTCCCTTTCCTGTGAGAACTGTCGCATGTGCCGTGATGGACTGGCTGGCAGGCTGGACCCCAGCTTTGGCTAGACACAGAAGCAGATGGCTGATTGCGCCCAGGTGTAGACTGCTTTTCTAATGCGTGCTTGCTTATGGGAACTGGAGACCAAAAAATGATCTTGAGTGGTTCCTGATGCTAGCTCGCTGCATCAGAGTCATCTGGACTCTGGTTAAAATGCAAATTCTTAGGTCCCTGGCCTTGGCTTTCTGAGTCAGGATTGCTTAGGGCTAGGCGAGGGGTGTGCATGTTTATCCAGCCCTGCAGGTGTTTCTGGTTGGCTGTGGTCAGGCACCTCGGAGGGGTTCTGAGCTGGCAAAGCCAGCTGGCTGTGTCCAGGCTGAATGGACCACCAGAGGAGGACTGGCTACTGGCGGGAAGGCAGTCCTCTGGCTCCTCATTCCAGGCCCCACGCAGGCTCTCTGCCAAGCCCTCCACTTGAGGTGGAAGGTGCTGGGGGTATTAAGGGTGGGATGCTGTGATGTTTTGACTGGGAGGAGGCCCGAGGGAAGCTGGCGGCTTTAAGTGGAGACCTTGCTCTCGCTCTGACTGAAGAGCCTCTCAATCCGTTCTCTAGTCTTGCAGAGTCCAGCAGCCTGTCCGAGGAGCTGCCTGATCGACTTGGAGCTGGACAGTGAGTCTGAGCAGGCTGGGCCTGGGGCACCGTCTCTGCTTCATCAGGACCTGGCAGCCTTAGGTGAGGGGGTGGTTTGGGGAGCAGGCAAGAATGGTCCCGGCTCCCTGGGGAGTGAGTAGGCTGGGTCCCCTTGGGGGGAATGTGCCTGTTTTTAGAAGGAAGTGGGTATACTGGGAAGCTCAGAGCGGTCCTCTTGGCACTTAGTCTCAGGTTCACCGTGGGTGTGGTGAATGCCTGTGGGTTCTTTGCTTTGGGCTTGCTAAGTGCCCTGGAAAGGGTGGACATGGTGCCGCTCTCCCTCCTGTCGGGATGAGTGATGGTGTGCATCTCCCTCTGTTCCTCCCTTGTAGGAATCAGTGATGCTCCAGTTACCAGCAAGGTAAGGAAGCTCTTCCCGGGGCCCGCAGGGGAGTGGAGGGACAAAGCTGCTTAGGGGAGGGGCTACTGTAGCTTGGGGTGCTGTAGACTTGGAGGCCAAAGCCTCTTCCTCGGTCTGCTGTATTTGGCAGCCCCACAGGGCACACGTCCTTGTCTCCTCGTGCTGATCCTCTTCGGTAGTGCCTGGGCTCTGCTCTTGCCCTCCTGCCTCAGGCAGTGTAATCAGCCCGGTGCGCAGTAGCTTTGGTGGGTCAGGAGAGCTGTGCCGCGTGTCACCGTGGCTAGTGGTCATTCATACCCTGGCCTCATCTTAGCTCTTCCTGGTTTGGCAGGTTGCCGGGCAGAGTTGCTGTAAGGAAAAGAGGAATCCTGCAGGCACACTGCCAGGTGGCGGTGTTCAGAGCCCATCAGCAGAGAGGAGTGTGCTGGACCTCCTCTCCCCACAGCCTCCTTCGGGCGCCCTGTGAGTCGTGTGGGCAGGGGAGGGAGACGAGGGCTCCTTGCATGAGGGCTGGGGTGACCCTTGAAGACGGGCAGAGACATCGCTCTGCGGAGGCTTCTTTGCTTCCCTCCCCTCCTTTTACTACCATCCCAAGTGAGGAAAGGACACCCTTGGCCAAGGTCTCTGTAGAGGGTTTGTTTAAGCAGCAACAGCAGTATTAACGATGTTTTTGTTGTGTGTAGGTTGAGGGTTGTTTTTTCTGATTATTATATAACTAGAGGCCCAATGCATGAAATTTGTGCAAGAGTAGGCCTTCCTTCCCCCGGCTGCCGACACCGGCTTCCCTCTGCACCAGGACCTGGGCCTCCCTCCAGCCGCCAGCAGGTACCCCGGACCCAGGCTTCCCTCACAGCCCCAGCTTTGTCTGGAAGGTCGTCCGGAAGGACGTCCAGTCTAATTACATATTATGCTTTTATTATTATAGATTTGAAGTTAAGTAAAATTTGATCACTAGAGAAATAGTTAATATAGAAAGTCCCAAATATCAACTCCTAAAGACAATGTTGAATGCTCCTTCTTCACTTTCTTTCTATACATGTAGTAATGTGTTAATTGTCACTTATTTTTACACAAATGGGGGTCATAATTTATAAACTGTACTCCAATGTGGATTTTTTCATATCACATCATATCTTTGATATGAGTGCATGTCAGTTTATATAAATAGTTATATGATTCATATATGCTCATATATGTGCATTTAATCATTTCCCTCTTGTGGATCTTTCCATAGCTTCCAGTTTGGAGGCACTTGGGGAAGTGGTTATAGTACAGGTTTCCTCAAGCAGAGGCGCTCTGAGCTATGAATGTGAACACATTTCCCGAGACCCTGCCCCTTTGCCTCTGGAAATATTAGCAGTTTGCCTTCTCTCAGCAGCCTGAGTGCCATGACCCTGGTGGAGAGAGACCATTGGTCTCTGGTGGCAGGGATGTGTGGGCGGGGCTTCTTCCCAGTTCTCTCATCACTCCACAGGGGCCAGTCATTCTTATTTTGATGGGTTACTTCTGTCTGGGCTTCAGTTTTCCAAAATGTTTTCAGTTTGTGTTGCAAATGGACAAAATCCTAAAGAAGTGTGAATGAAGTGGTGCCTGAATCTGTGACCATCTTCCTGGCTTCCGTCCCGCTGGGTATCACATGTGGGAAACAGCCTGGCTGAGCTGCCTGTGGTCAGGATGCCTGATAGCCACATTGGTTACTTTATTAATAGTTTATTGGATCCTCATTATGTCACACATTCCACTGAGTGCTCTTCAGACATTTGCTCATTTAATTTTAACAACCCTCAGAGAACTGAGGCCTAGGTTAAATTACTTATCTAAAGTCACATACCTCTGCCCCAGCTGGTGTGGCTCAGAGGTTGAGCATCCACCTATGAACCAGGAGGTCAGGGCACATGTCTGGGGTTGCGATCCCCAGTGGGGGGTATGCAGGAGGCAGCCAATCCATGATTCTCTCTCATCATTGATGTTTCTATCTCTCCCTCTTTATTCCTCTCTGAAATCAATAAAGTGTAAAAAAAATAGTCCCATACCTCTAAAACACACACACATGCTCACATATACATATATGTATTTTTTTCTTTTTTCCCCTCTCTTATCTTGTTCTTCAGAAAGCCTAGCCACAGATTCCTGGAATTCTTGCTTGTCTTGAGATATATTTTTTTATTTCTTTGCAGGAATTATATTCCACAGAAAAATATCCCCAAGGAAGTGCCACCAGGGACTAAGTCCTCTCCAGGTTGGTCCTGGGAGGCTGGCCCATTGGCTTCGTCTTCCTCTTCTCAGAATACACCTCTGGCTCAAGTGTTTGTCCCTTTGGAGTCTGTTAAGCCCAGTAAGTGTAGTTTCACCTTTTTTCTTCTTTCTTTCCTTCTATTAGATGCCCAGCTTTATTACCTGAGAAGTGAGTGGTAGAGGTTTTGCCTCAGGGCAGGGGATAAGGAGGTGGTTTCACATCTCTTAGCTAATATTTTCCTTAATGATTTCTCTGTCTTGGGGTGGATTGGCAGGTGGAATTTAAAAACTAGGGGGATTGAAAAACCCCCCAAAAAACAGAACTAGGGGGATTGAGTCTGCTTAGGGACTTGATGTTCATTCATTTGGAATCAAGAAGGGAATGTTCACTGTGGCTTGAAATAATTCAGAAGAGTTGGAATGAGAAGGAAATGAAGGAATTGGTTGGTGATTTTCTTCCTCTAGGGATCCTCTAACAGCGGTCGCCTACTGGTGGTCTGCGGACTACTGGTGGTCGGTGAGGTCCGAAAGGTTGGCAACCGCTGCTCTATAAGGCAGGGAAGTAGATTAATATCTTTACCCACTTACAAAGGAAACTGCAGGCCCACTAAGTAAGGTGACTGCCTGTGGGCAGCACTAGTATGTGAGCAGGAAACCGCTGAGCTTTAGATCTGAGGCCTGGCCCTCTTCTCTGGCATAGGCCCTGCTGTGGCTGTGGTGAGGTCAGCCTGCAGAGAGCCCTGGAACCAGGCAGAGGAGTTACACAGTCAGGGAGCACTGGGGGCCCTTTGCACAGTTACTTTGTTAAATTTTGATTTAAAAACAATCTATCTTCAATGTTAGTGGCCTGGTTTTGATAATTGTACTGTGGTTTTATAAAACGTTAACATTTGAGCAAGCTGAGTGAAAGGTATATGGGAATTTTTAGTTAGCTTTACCACTTTTTATAAATCTGAAATTATTATGTCCTGGCCAGGTAGCTCAGTTGGTTAGAACATAGTCCTGATCTGCCAAGGTTGTGGGTTCGAACCATCAGTCAGGGCAGGTACAAGAATCAACCACTGAATGCATAAATAAGTGAAACAACAAAGCGATGTTTATTTCTTTCTCTCCTTCTCTCCCTCTCCCTCCCTCTCTAAAAAACTCAATTAAAAAAACTCAAATTATTACAAAACAAAGTAAAAAAAATTAAAAGCAAAAACATATATTTTCAATATAGAAGTTTTAGAAAAGATAGAATAAACCAGAAAATTAAAATCATCTGTACCATTATCACCCAGAAATGGAAGTTTTGTTAAAATCTTAATGTATTTTCTTGTTTTCTTGTGTGTGTGTGTGTGTGTGTATATATATATATATATATACATGCATACATACATACAGTGGGGCCTTGACTTACGAGTGTCCCGACTAACGAGTTTTTTTGAGATACGAGCCATCTCTCGGCCGATTTTTTGCTTTGAGTTGCAAGCTCAAAAAAATTCAGGTTATGAGCCAGCTTCAGATACCCCACCGCTAGTTGGCGCAGTGAACGTCACAGTGATTTGACATACGAGTAATTTGAGTTATGAGCTCCGTCAAGGAACAAATTAAACTCGTAAGTCAAGGCCCCACTGTATGTATGTATGTGTGTGTGTGTATATATATATACACACACATTTTTTTTAAATTAGCACCATAATATATATAGTGTTTTAATCCTGCTTTATTTATTATTATAAGCAATAGCATGTTTTCATGCTCTTAATTGTTCTCCAGAACCTGGCTTTTTAAAAATGAATTCATACATCATACAGATGTACCATAACTCATTTATTTAATTCCTTTTTAAAAAAATATTTTATTGATTTCAGAGAAGAAGGGAAAGGGAGAGGAGATACAAGCGTCAGTGATGAGAGAGATTCATCAATAGGCTGCCTCCTGCACGCTGCCTACTGGGGCTCAAGCCTGCAACTCGGGCATGTGCCCTGACTGGGAATTGAGCAATAACCTCCTGGCTCATAGGTGGATGCTCAACCACATAGGCTGGGCCTATTCTGTTCCTTTCTAAAGGATAATGTGTTTCCAGTTTAAAACAGTGCTACAGTGAACATCTTTGGACACCTATGTTATAATTTTGTTATTTTTTAAATTTTTAAAAAATTGACTTGAGAGAGAGAGAGAGAGAGAGAGACATCAACTTACTGTCCACTTATTTATCCATTCATTGGTTGATTCTTGGATGTGCCCTGACCTTGGCATATTGAGATGATGCTCTAACCAACTGAGCTACCTGGCCAGGGCCTAGGGGCCTGGGCACCTATTTTTTTTAAAAACTTCCCTGGTTATTTCAATTGGATATATTCTTTTTTGTTGTTAATCCTCACCTCAGCATATTTTTTCCATTGATTTTTATTTTTTATTTTTTGAGAGTGGGAAGGAGAGAGAGAGATATTGATTTTTCACAGAGAGGAAGGGAAAGGGATAGAGAGTTAGAAACATCGATGAGAGAGAAACATTGATCAGCTGCCACCACCCTTGGGTGTGTGAGCTGATACTCTAACCACTGAGAACACTGGCCAGGGCTCAATTGGATTCTTTTTTGTTGTTAATCCTCACCTCAGCATATTTTTTCCATTGATTTTTATTTTTTATTTTTTGAGAGTGGGAAGGAGAGAGAGAGAAACATTGATGTAAGAAACATCAATTGGTTGCCTCCCATATGCACCCCAACTAGGTTCATGCTCTTGACCGGTACTCAAACCCACCACCCTTGGGTGTGTGAGCTGATACTCTAACCACTGAGAACACTGGCCAGGGCTCAATTGGATATATTCTTTTTTTAAAAAAAAATTTATGTGTGTGTTTTTATTTAGTTTAAATTTCATTGCATTTATTTTTTATTTTTATTTATTATTTTTTAAATCTTCATTTTTCAAAGTATTGCATATGTCCGCTTTTTCCCCCCAATGACCCCTTACAGCCCGCCACTGCCCCTCTTCCCCTGCCCCAGGCTGTATATACCTACCAGGTCTTTGGTTGATGACCTCACATCCACCCACCCTCCCGTCTTTCCTCTGAGATTCCACACTCTGCTCTATGTTTCCATGTCTCTGGATCTTCTCTGTTCATCAGTTTATTTTGTTAATTAGATTCCACATGTGAGTGAGATCATGTGGTAATTGTCTTTCTCTGACTGACTTAGCATAATATTCTCCAGGTCCCTCCATGCTGGATATATTCTTAAAAGTAGAAATGCTGGCCCTAGCTGGTTTGGCTCAATGGGTCCCGGTCAAGGGCACATACCTTGGTTGCAGGCTCCTCCCCAGCCCAGGCCCTGGTTGGGTCTCATGCAGGAGGCATCCAATCCATGTGTCTCTCTCACATCGATGTTTCTCTCTGTCTTTCCCTCTGTCTTCCTCTCTCCCTAAAAATCAATGGAAAAATATCCTTGGGTGAGGATTGATAAATAAATAAATAAATAAATAAATGTAGAAACCTGGGTGTAGATATTTAAACATTTTTAATCTGCATTGCCAAAGCTCCCTTCTAGAAAGGTTGCCTTAACTCCATACTCAACCACGATCCCTTATAGGTATTCTCATTCTTTTGAATCTTTGGCAGTTTCATTATTAAATACTAGAGGCCCGGTGCACGGGATTCGTGCACTGGTGGGGGGCATGGCCTGTGAGGATCGGCCTGATGTGGGAGTGCTGCTCATCCTGGTTAGCTGAGCGACTGTGGACCTGCCCTCTGAGTGGCTGCTCCCTGGTCCAGCATCTTCCATGGAGCCAGAGCACTCGCCCCTCCAGGGACCGGACCGGGTCAGGGCTGGGCCCAGGGACAATAGTACTGAGAGGTGGTGGAGTAGGCCTCAGTTCCGCAGCGCCCACGAACCCGCCTCCCAGCCTCCGGAGTCAGCTCTGTGAGCCCGGTGGTGGCAGTGCTGCACAGTCTGTGGGCATCCGGAGGAGGCGGCAGGGAGCAAGGAGGAGGAGCCCGGGGCGAGGAGGTGAAGATTGCAGCCGGGTTTCCTGCCCTGCCCGGGATTCGCAGTGGGAGCAGCCACTCATCCTGGTCAGCTGAGCAGCGCTCCCACTGTGGTAGCACACTGACCACCAGGGGGCAGCTCCTGCGTTGATTGTCTGCCCCCTGGTGGTCAGTGTGTGTCATAGCGGCTGGTTGACCGGTCGTTCTGGTTGTTTCGATTGTTCCTGTTGTTCCGCTGTTTGGTCGCTGGGCTTTTATTATATAGGATTTTTTTAAACTGTATTTTTAAAAATTCTTTTATTGATATTTTAGAGAGAGAGAGAGAGAGACATTGATGTGAGAGAGAAACATCGACCAGCTACCTCCTATACGCCCCTTACTAGGGATTGAGCCCACAACCTGGGCATGTGCCTTGACTGGAATCGAACTGGTGACCTTTTGGTGCATGGGCCGACACTTAACCAACTGAGCCACATGGGCCAGAGCTTTTGAACCGTATTTTTATATTTGCATTTTGATAAGTGATGGTTGGCATGAGACAAGGATTCATTAAATTTTTTTTCTAGATCTTTAGCCAGGTGTCTGCCATTTACTGAATATATGTTCTTAACATATTAAGTTCTCACATTTGGATCTGTTCTGCATGCTTTGTTTTATACCACTTTGCTTGAATTACTAGTTTGTACTATCTGAGTATTTGTTAATGCAAATAGCTATACCTCCCTCTCTCTCTTTTTCCTATGGTTAGTCTCATGTTTTTGTTTATCTCCCCAAATGAGATGTAGAATTATTTCCTAGGAACATTAAAACATTCCCTTTAGGATTTCTGTTGGAATGCCATTAAACCTGTTAATTAGAAGAGATCTGCTATCTGTATAATTTTTCCAAGTTAAATATGGGGGGGCGGGGGTGTAGTCATATATAAAAGACCAGAAGAAAACATGTCCAGATGTTAGCAGTGCTTATTTCTGGGTAGAATTAAGGATGTTTATTTCATTTTTTCCATCTAAGGGTGTTTTTTAAAAAAACGTTGTTCTTTGATATCCTGTATTTTCCGTGTTCATACATTATTTTAATCATAATCATATCTCCCTTTTAAAAAGTTCTTATTTTTAAAAAACACCTGGTAATGTGCTTAGGTCGGTTGGATGGTCATAGGCATCCAACTAGAAGCCATAGGACTTGGCTTTCGGCAGTGCCGAGGCTAATCCCAGAGCTGCTCTCACCGGAGGAGCACCAGCACTCGGTGGGAATGTGCACGTCTCCTCCAGGCTTGGCTGTCTGGCTATTACAGCAGCACTAACATTTCTCGGTCGGGCCCTTCTCTACCAGGCAGCCTGCCTCCGATCATTGTGTACGACCGGAACGGATTCCGAATTCTGCTCCACTTTTCCCAGACGGGGGCCCCTGGCCACCCCGAGGTGCAGGTGCTCCTGTTGACCATGATGAGCACTGCCACCCAGCCTGTCTGGGACATCATGTTTCAGGTGGCCGTGCCAAAGGTGAGCCATTCACTGGGCAGATCCTTTGAATTTGTCATTTCTGAGCACCAGATCCATTACCTGTCAGTTAGGTGGAAGGATAGAATCTTCACTCAGAGTAGTTGAAGGTACCCGGCCAGCGTGGCTCAGTGGTTGAGCATTGACCTAGGAACCAGGAGGTCACGGTTCGATTCCTGGTCAGGGCACATGCCCAGGTTGCAGGCTCAATCCCCGGTGTTGGGTGTGCAGGAGGCAGCTGATCAGTGATTCTCTCATCATTGAAATCAATAAAAAAATATTTTTTTTAAAAAGTAGTTAAAATGGGGGCTTTATTGGCTCATTCTATGGTGATTCCTGATGTCTGGGTGCCGGTAGGTGCTTAGAGGATTCCTTAAGAACCTGCCTCTTCCCTCTCCTGACTGCTTTCCTCTTTGGAGCCTGTTCTCGGACAGACTCCCCACGAAGCAGGAGAAAGGTGCCGGCAGCTCCAGAATCACCTGGTCCTTATCCCCTGTATCTCAGAAAGACACTCTCCTGTGCTGCACCTGACACTAACACACAACAATATTGAATGTGAACTGTAATCGGAACATTTATTTATGTATTTATTTATTTTTAACAGTCCTCACGAGAGGATATTTTTCCATTGATTTTTACAGAGAATGGAATGGAGGGGAGAGAGGGAGAGAGGGAGAGAGAGAGAGAAAGAGAGAGAGAGAGAGAGAGAGAGAGAGAGAGAAAGATAGATACATTGATGTGAGAGAGACACATCGATTGGTTGCCTCCTGCAGAGGCCCCCACCAGAGCTGGGGATCAAGCCTGCAACCATGGTACATGCCCTTGACTGGAATCAAACCCGGGAGCCTTCAGTTCACAGGTCGACGCTCTATCCACTGAGTCAAACCAGCTAGGGCCCAAGATCCACTTTCTAATCCTCATGGCGATCATGTGGGGCACGTGTTATTGTTACTTCTGTTTTATAAATTATCATTCTAAGGTTAAATATTTACCCAAGGTGATAGAGCTAGTGAGAGCCGGAGTTGGAGTTCAACTCAAGATGTGCCCTGGCTCTGCGTGTGCCTCTCAGAAGCCAAGGACTGGCACACATGTCAGACACATTCTGTGTGTGGGAGGAACCGTCTTTTGAATCCTGTCGTTAGTTGGTGGGGTGCAGGTCAGGCTCTCCTGTTCACCTGACCGTCTTATTAAAGCTGTCGTTTACTAGAAATGAGTTGCATGTTGACTCTCCCCCATCCTCATAGTCAATGAGAGTGAAACTGCAGCCGGCATCCAGCTCCCAGCTCCCAGCGTTCAGTCCTCTGATGCCTCCAGCCGTGATCTCTCAGATGCTGCTGCTTGACAATCCACACAAAGTATGCTCCGGTGTCCTTAACAGCAGGGAGGTGGGGCCCTGAACGGTAGGGTGGCAGCGTGGTAGGTGGAGAGAGGCCTGTTGCAGTCTTCCTCTGAAGCCTCTGGGTGGTGGGGAGTGGTGGCGGGCTGTCCCTGCTAGAGTGTGTTTTCCTTTGGGGCTTACTGAAAGAAGCCCCGTGACCAGGAACCGAGGGAGTGACAAACTCTCCTATTACATGGAGTCCTCTGAAAGGGTGAGACCTGTCTGTCGTCCTCAGCTGGTCTCTTAGCAGTGGTCCAGCTCAGGATTGCACAAGTGTGGGATGAAGGACTTGAATCCCAGGCTGTGGACCTGGCTCCCCTTGTGTTTGTAGTCCCCAGGGGTCTAGGCCAGGGTGTTCCTGTCACGGTGTGAAGCCTCACGTGGCCGAGTTAACAGGCATGCCCTGTTGCTTGGTGACTACTGCATGGGAAAGGCTTTTACTTCGTGCTGTTCTCTCTGTTGCTCCTCACTAATTTATCTCTATCTTTGCCCAGGAGCCAATCCGGTTACGGTATAAGCTGACATTCAACCAGGGTGGACAGCCTTTCAGCGAAGTTGGAGAAGTGAAAGACTTTCCAGACCTGGCAGTCTTGGGTGCAGCCTAACTTTTCTCAAGACACACCCTGCCATTCAGGTGTAGGCAGTGTTCCTTGTGCTGTCTCGATGGGACTGATCACAGTGACTGAGTGCAGAGTGCCAGGAGTGCTGTCCTGATGCAGGCTCCACATGCCAGTTTCTGGCTTGTTTTGTAGTGTGTGTGTGGGTGTGTGTGGATTTCTGTTACATTCACACCTGCTACGAGCATATCTGTTTCTGTATGTTTGGACACTGATCTCCCAGCCTCAGGTGGGATGTTTTATAGCCAAAGCTATTGTTCTCATGTATTACCTTTTCACTCATCCACTCTGTGCCTTGTCAGCCTTTGAAAGTCTTGTTGCTCCCAGGTTGCTGCTCTCTGGGACCTTAAAAGGGACCTAGTGGGACTTGGGCAGAGAGTGTCTTCTGGGGCACTCTTTCAAGAGAGACCTGCCTCCATTTCCACTAGAGAATGCTGCTGGCATGTGTTCGGGAAGATCTTCTAAATGGAATGCTTGTCGCACTGTTTTCCAGGCAAGAGGCTGCACTGACCAGAGGACCACACTGGTGGGCCAATCATGTTCTTCACCACTGTGCCTTAGACTCACCCACAGCTGGGCCTCAGGGCAGAGGGGAGCGCAGATCCCAGGCCTTATTCAGGCCGTAGGTTCCATGGGTTGTGCAGCCTGTCGGCCCTTACTCAGGACCCGCATCTCCGTCCTCTGTCTTCACAGGCACGTACTCAGAGCCCTGTGTGACACAGTGCCAGTCACTGTCATTGTAGCTAGCAGGCTCCCCTCCTCTGTTGCCTTTGCAACCCAAGATGAACTGTGAGCAAATAGATATGAAAAGAGCTTAGCAGTGATTTAAGTGGTGACTGAATACAGAAAGTCATTGAATAAATACCTGTGTAGCAAATATACTTTGTGGAGTTTTGAGGTGCAAAGCCCATTGCATTCAGAGAAGATCGGCCCAAAGGGAACTGGCCTCTATTGAGGACGGAAGGAAGACTTCATGAGGGATCAGGACCTCAGTCCTTCAGTGAAGACACAAGCCCCTGGGTCTGAACAGTGCTGGAAAGAAATGTGGATTTTTGTTACATTCACAGTTCAAAGGAAAATCCAGGTGTACAATTAATACTGAGCACCCACTCTGTGCTTGATTTACAAGTCCTGCGTGGTCTGGTTGGTGGGCGAAGAAAGCTGACCCTGCTGATGGCCTGAAGAAGGACTGAAGTCCCAGCAGCTCACCGGTGTGGGCAGGATTCTTCTACCTCAGAAACTGCAAGGCTCTGTTTGGGGCTTTTTATCACAAAATGCGGCACTCCACAGGCTGATCTTTCACCGTCTACATCTAGTTGGAAATCTGCCAACACTGATTGGTGGGGAAAGGTGCTATAAAAGATCAAGGCATGCTAATTTTTAAGCATATGAGAAAACTCATAAAACATAAATGATTGGGTGATTTCTTTATTTGGCATAATGCACATAAGGTTCATTTTAATCTAACGTTACTTTTATGCTCACATGCTCGGTGTAGCTTTTATAGACTCGAGCTATTTCACAGTCTGTAGTGATAATGTCAGCCTCGGAAGAACTGCCACCAAAACGTGTGAATGAGACTTACATCGCTCTGAGGTGAACTTGTGTGTCGGACCTTCTCTGTCTTCTGCAGTGGTGCTCTGCTTAGGTGGTGGTGGACAGAATAAGGGGTGGGGGTGATGGCGGTCCTGAATATGGCCCTGGTTTATGTTATCAGTGCCTTCTAGTTACCAAGTTCAGTGACCACTTAGCTCAATCCTTACCCTCTTATTCACTCAAGTATTTGACCAGCTACTATGAGGCAGACACTGTTGTAGGCCCTGCGGATACGGCAGCATCAGAGTCCCTACCCTTCTGCATCTTCTGTTCTAGTGGGGGGAGAAAAATCCATATTCTCTGGTGGAGGGGCCAGTATTTTCCCTGTCCTGAACTCCTGGGATCCTGCTCACTCCAGTTGTTGACCTGCCTCTGACTGTTCTACTCTGTCCCTGAGGTGGTGTTTCCCCAGGGTTTAGTCCTCAGTTCTTTTCTAAGCACTGTGGGCAGTTCACCTCTAGATGGGTCCTAGACCTCTGTCTCCAGCTTCCACCTTCTTGCTGACATCAGACCCATGTTTCAAGCCAGCAGTGGATCTCTCTATCTGGAGGTTCCACTATTGCCTCAAACTCCAAATGTTTTGAATGGAACCCAACCTCCTCCCTGTTTCCACCTATATTTTCTTTTTACTATTTGTTTTTAAATACTCACTGGAAGATATTTTCCCATTGTTTTTAGATAGAGTGAAGGGGGGGGTGGAGAGAAACATCAGTGTGAGAGAGACATCAGTTGGTTGCCTCGCCCACGCACCCCACATGGGACTGGGGAATGAACCCGCAACCCAGGTATGAGCCCTTGACCAGGAATGGAACTGTGACCCTTTGGTGAGTGGGCTGACACTAACCACTGAGACCCACTGGCCAGGACTAAATTTTCTATTTGAAAGCACCTATCTGAGCCTCATGGACCCTTCATTCCTGCTCCATCCGTTCCACTTGGTACCCTTGTCTCGAGTCTTTATTTCTAAATACCACCACATATTGCTCTCCCTGCATTCACACTAGTTGCCTGCCTCTCACTTCTCTGAGCCATGGTACTTGCTACCACCAGAATTCTCTAACAAATCTGGGTACTTGATCCCTTTCTGGAAAATTCTGAGTGGTTCTTAATGCCCAAAAAGCCTATGCAATCAAATTCAAGTTGCTTACACTAACATTCAGTGCCCCCCGCCACTGTGTGCCCTGCTCACTGGCATCTGCCAAAAATAGAACAGACTTTCCACAGCCACAGGTAGTTTGTCATGTTTTGATGTTTTCTCCTGTCTCTCTGGCCACTGCAGTTAACTCCTCCCCTCATCTCTTCAGTGAATGGAAAATGCTGCTTCACCTGTGTCACTGAGCATCACAGGGCTATGGAGATAGTAGGTGGTGAAAGGATAAATGACTTAAGAACCAAAAGAACATTATGAGTATTACCATTAAAAAGAATGTAAAGCGAGAGAATATACAAGGTAGAAAGCGATATTCTAAAATGCAAAGTGCTGGACTACTACAGTGTTTACGAGTCACACATTCTTTCAATACATTCCAATATGGAAGACACCAGCCCAAAACCATAAAAATCTGTCAACTAGGTGTTTGTTTGTTTTTTGTTTTTTTTTTTAACTAAGAAAATAGTAGCATTGTGTCCTGGAATACTAGCTATGGTTTTTTGTTGTTTTTAAAGGTGCGGTTTGACACTCCCATCTGGAAAGAGTTGGAGCCAAACAAGGACAAAGCAGGGAGTGTCCTCAGATAAGATTATAGAGTTAAGGCACACTTATTTTTTTTTTAATTATTTATTTTTTAATCCTCACCCGAGAATATTTTTCCATTGATTTTTAGAGAGAGTGAGGAGAAAGGGGAAGACAGAAACTTCAATGTGAGAGAAACACTTTGATTGGTTGCCTCCGGCAGAAGCCCTAACCAGCCTGGGCCGGGGAGGAGCCTCTAACTGAGGTAGGTGCCCTTGACCAGAATCGAACCTGGGTCTGTCCTCTGAGCCAAGCCAGCTAGGGCAAGGCACACTCAATGTCACCCAGAATGAAGTTAACTCAGCCTTTTGTACCCTCATCCAATGCAATCCCAAGTCTACCATGTTCACTCAAAGAAAACTTGCACTTAAAAAGTAGTTTTCAGAGGTAGTTTTTAAAGTTGAAGAAACACTTCGGTGTTACAGGCCTCAGATACATCTACTTTTAAAGACAGGCCTTGTGCCCGCTTCGGCAGCACATATACCAAAATTGGAACGATACAGAGAAGGTTAGCATGGCCCCTGCGCAAGGATGACATGCAAATTCATGAAGTGTTCCATATTTAAAAAAAAAAGTTGCAGGTCTTCTAAAGCCCTAACAGTTTGAAATAATGAAGTCAAACCTTAGTTGTAATTCTGTTTACCTTCACTACTGCCTCTAAGTGACCATGTGACATGGGGAAAATAATTTATCCTCTTCAGAGTCCTCCCCTGTAAAGTGGATAGTAGGATTGTTTATATTTTGAAAATTAAATGAGTTAATATATGTAAAGTGACTATAACACCACATGGCACCTAGCTATTTGCTCTTAGCCTGTCCAACTGGCTTCCAGTAGAGGAGCGGACTTGCCTTGCCCATAGTTATTTAAAGTTCACCTTATAAAATAAAAGTTTGGTGAGGTGCAAATTAATACAGACACACAGTAAATGCCAAAGGTATATAGGGTAAATGTATAAAGTTAAAATCATTTTAAGAGCATTAAAATGAATATAACACTTTGGAAAAAATTTAGCAAAGATACAAGACATTTACAATGTGCAACTACAAGATATTGCTGAGAGAAAGTCTAAACGAGAGGTCCTCGGGGAACTGCCCACTAGCGGCACTCGGCAATGTGTGGAGACATCTTGGATTGTCACAGCTTAGGAGAGGGCTGCTGGCCTCTAACGGGTAGAGGCCAGGGATGTGGCTAAACATCGGAAAATGCATAGGACAGCCCCCACAACAAAGAATTATCTGGCCCCAGATGTCAATAGCACCAGGGTTGGAAATCCTGATCTTAATAAGTGGAGAGGCATCACGGACTGGAAGACAGTATTGTCAAGATGATAATTCGCAAAGTGATATATAGATTCAATATAATCCCTATTCCAGCATCAGTTTTTGTAGAAATTGATAAGCTGGTCACACGATGTATGTGGAAATGCAAAGGGTTTCAAGTAGCAAAATAATTTTTTTTAAAAAAAAGTGGGAGGCCCTAGCCAGTTCTGCTCAGTGGATAGAGCGTTGGCCTGCAGACTGAAGGGTCCCAGGTTCCATTCTGGCCAAGGGCACAGAGCTGGGTTGCAGGCTCGATCCCCAGTAGGGGGCGTGCAGGAGGCAGCCGATCAATGATTCTCATCATTGATGTTTCTATCTCTCTCTCCCTCTTCTTTCCTCTCTGAAATCAATAAAGAAATACATTTAAAAAAAAATAAAGTGGGAGGACTTACACTACTGGATTTCAAAAATTACTATAGATGACAATAATCAAAATAGCTTAGTAGTATTATAAGGACAGATAATAGAACAGAAATGAGTCCAGAAACCCTAACATTTGTTACTTGATTTTTGATGAAAATCTTAAAGGCATTTTAATGGAGGAAGGAAAGTGTTTTCAACAAAGGGTCCCAGGTTAATCGTATGTCTGCATGCACACACACAAATGAACTCAGACCTTTCCCTCACACCATACACAAAAAAAATGAACTCAAACCAGACCACAGACCTAAATGTAAAAGCTAAAACTTTAAGACTTCTAGAAGAAAATTTAGGAGAAATTCTTGATTTTGAGTTAGGTAAATATTTTTTTCTGCTTCTTAAATATCATTTTTTAAAAGTTACGTGTCATAACTGAGGATCAAACCCACAACCTTGGCATGTCAGGATGCCGCTCTAACCAACCGAGCTACCCAGCCAGAGTGAATATCTGTTTTTAAGTAAGTTTTTATTTTTTAAAATTCCAGTTGACATACAATACTATTTTCAGGTATACAACATGATGAGACATTTATATAACTTACACCCTGATAAATCTAGTACCCATCTGACATCATGCATAGTTACTACAATATTATTGACTATATTCCCTATGCTTTACATGACCATGACTATTTTGTAATTACCCATTTGTACTTCACCTTTTTCACCCATCTCCCCACCTCCCCTTAGATACAACAACAAATAGTATGACCCATAAAAGGAAAAAAAATGATAATGGACCTTATCAAAATAAACTTGCATCTCAAAAGACACCATTAAATAGGTGAAAAGAGGCCCTGGCCCAGTAGCTCAGTTGGTTAGAGCATCATCGGATATGCCACGGTTACTGATTTGATCCCTAGTCAGAGCATTTACAAGAAGCAACCAATGGCCCTGGCCAGTGTGGCTCAGGTGGGCATCGTCCGAGCAACAAAAAGGTTGTCGGTTCGATTCCTGGCCGGGGCACATGTCTGGGTTTCGGGCTTGATCCCTGGTAGGGGACCTGCAAAAGGCAACTTATAGATGTTATGCTCTCACATTGATGTTTCTTTCTCTCAAAGATCAATAAAAATTATTTTTAAGAAGGAACCAATGAATGCAAAAATAAGTGGAACAACAAATCGATGTTTCTCTTTCCCTTTCTCTCAAATCAACCAATAAATACCAAAAAAAAGTGGCCCTGGCCGGTGTGGAGTGTCATCCCATACAAAAAAGGTTGCGGGTTCAATTCCTGGTCAGGGCACATACCTAGGTTGCGGGTTTTTATCTCCAGTTAGGGTGCGTTTGGGAGGCAGCCGATGACATCTCTCTCCTCCCCCTCCCCTCTAAATATAACATGCCCTTGGGTGAGGATTATACAAAATAAAAAAAGGGAAAAGACAAGTTACAAATTAGGAAAAAATATTTGCAAACCATATCTCTTTAAAAGAAATATTTTCATTGATTTTTAGAGAGGGGAAGGGAGGAGAGAGAAACATCGATTGACTGCCTCCCATACATACTCCAACTGGCAACTGAACCTCAAACTTAGATATGTGCCCCAACTGGGAATCAAACTGGCAGTCTTTCAGGACAGGAGACGACGCCCAACCGAGCCATTACCGGCCAGGTGGCAGTTTCTTAAATTTATCTTAAATTTAGCAATTATATTCCTATGAAAACGTGTCCAATAAAGACATATAGTGAACGTTCATAGCAGCATTATTCATAAAAGCCTTAATGTCCATCAACTGGTGAAATGGATAAAATATGTCATAGCCACACAGTGGAATACTATTCGGCAGCATAAAGGAACAAACTACTGAGCCATGGTACAACATGGACCCAACAACATGCTCAGTGAAAGAAGCAAATGCAGATCACATAGTATATGATGTATCTGAAACGCCCAGAAAGTAAATGTGTAGAAAGCACATTAGTGGTTTCTTAGGACTGGGGATGGGGGCAGAGATGAAGTGCAAGTGGGCAGCTAGGAGTGTTTTGGCCGATGGAAATGTTCTGGTGGAGACAGCACAGCTCTCTACATTTACTGAAGGTCATTTAACTGTACACTTACAATGGGTGAGCTTATGTCCTGTAAATGTATTACTCAATAAAGCTGTTGTTAAAGTGTCCGCTGCTGGGGAGGGAAGGGGCACCTGGAGGCATTCCAGGCTTCTGAGCAGACGTGGGGCTTGATCACTTGCTCCCAGGGGCGAGCGCACCAGCTTTCCTAACTCTGGATTCAGGTCTTCAAGAGTTACCATATGCACTCCCAGGGCTGCCCGAGAGAACGGTAAGCGGCCAAGTTAGTGACAACTGCACACTAGGGTGTCTTCTCCTTTTATGTTTTTTTTTTTTTTAATGGATTTCAGAGAGAGGAAGGGAGAGGGAGGGAGAGAAACATCAATGATGAGAATCATCCATGGGCTGGGGACCGAGCCCCCAAGGGGCATGTGCCCTGAGGGGAATCCAACCGGAGTCCCGGGTCCACGCTCCATCACTGAGCCGCGCCGGCTGCTTTCTTTTTGTTTTGTTTCCTGTGACAGGATTCTCCTGGCCTCCCAGGTCTCCTTTCTGAGGTGCCCACCTTGTTCGTTTTCCACTGGAGGAAGCAGCGAATGCGGACTTGGTGTCTCAGGGGCGACAGGTGAGTGCGGCCAGAGCGCTGCCGCGGGCCGGGAGGGAAGAGCGGTGGGCAGAAGCCGGCCACGCCCCGCTGTCCCCCGAAGGGCGCCGGGGTGCAGGCTGCCTGAGCTCACACCCCGCGGGGCGTCAACCCCGCAGGGCCCGCCCAGCTCCCGGACTGGCAGCGTCTCGGCTCCTCTGCGCAGCGGAGGAACGTGTTCCGCACGGCGGCCGCCGCTCCTCCAGCTCCCGGCCGCCCTGCGCGCCGGCGCTCTCTATGGCAACGGCCCCCACTTCCGGGAGAAGTACGGCGCGCGACGAGGGCCCTTCCAGGCCGCTGGCCGGCTGGCTGACGCGGCCGCGGCCATGGACTACTCCAGGTTCCTGGCCGAGGACTTCGACGTGAAGGAGTGGATCAACGCGGCCTTCAGGGCCGGCCCCAAGGAGGCGGCGGCGGGGAAGGCGGACGGGCACGCGGCCACGCTGGTGATGAAGCTGCAGCTCTTCATCCAGGAGGTGAACCACGCCGTGGAGGGTGAGCGGCGGGCCGGGCGGCGGGCCGGGCGGCGGACGTGGGCGCTTCCTGCGGTGAGGGGTGAGCCGGGCTTTGTCCACCCGCGCGTGCCCACACTTGCTCTTTCCACCTCGGGTGGTGCTGTGGTTTCCTTACAAAACGCAAGCTAAAAGAGTTAATTTTAAGGATATCTACTATAAAAGTATATCTATGTAAAACCCTCATATGCAAATTGACCTATGGTTGGAACGACCTGCTGAACGACCAGGGGGCGGGGCCGGCGAGTGGGCGGGGCCAGGCCAGCCAGCCCAGGGTGCCAGCAGGCAATTGCCCAGCTGGTGGCCCCACAGATCACCCTGATCGCAGGCCCGGCCTAGGGACCCTACCCTATCTATTGGGAACAGTGTCTTAGATTTAAAAATTAAAACCTGGCAAGGCTACTCTAACACTGAAAAAACAGGATGATGCAGCGATGACATGCATGGACTCTGGCTTGCACATTTTGTGGTCAGCCCTGATTCTGACACTTATAACTGTGTGGCAAAGCCAATTACTTAACTTCTCTCTGCCTTAGTTTTTCCACCCGTAAGATGGGGAAAATGGTACTACTCCTCAGAAGGATCATGTTATATACTGCTTTTTATAATCAGGACAAAAAAATGTAGCTGCCCATACAACAGCAAGATGCCTGTCACCTGTATGAAAAGTATGGTCACTGGTACATGCAGCGTCCAGGACTGCGAGAGGGATGTCTGACTGCCGGTTTAGGCCCGACATCCCCCGAGGGGTCCTGGATTGTGAGAGGGTGCAGGCCGGGCTGAGGGACCGCCCCCTCCCCTGTGCATGAATTTCGTGCACTGGGCCTCTAGTTAAGTAATAATCACCTGATCCTTACATTTGGTAAACACATGTCAGAGGCGTATGGGAAAGACACACCTGGGCGGCGTTGTGTTCCTGCAAATTCCTTGCAGCGAGGAAGCCGGGCTGGTCAGAATAGAGGCTGCAACGGTTCTTTAAGGGTAGTTAGTTTTGAAAAATAACACACACCAGCAGCCATCTTGGGAAGTCCTCCACGTGACTAACCCACTGTCTGTTTATTCGGTATGGACTGTGCCCATCTCCCTGCTGAGCTCTGGGAAAGACGAGGTCACCAGGCTTAGGACCCTGGAAGCTTAGGGCCCAGTAAATAGACCTTTTAACAAAGGTTATGGAAAAGGACGCTGATTTCACTTCAGATTCTTTTTTTAAAAAATTTTTTTGTATATATTTTATTGATTTTTTTACAGAGAGGAAGGGAGAGGGATAGAGAGTTAGAAACATCGATGAGAGAGAAACACTGATTAGCTGCCTCCTGCACACTCCCTACTGGGGATGTGCCTGCAATCAAGGTACATGCCCTTGATCAGAATCGAACCTGGGACCTTTCAGTCCGAAGGCCGACGCTCTATCCACTGAGCCAAACCGGTTAGGGCTCACTTCAGATTCTTTATTGTACTTTGCGTCTTTTACTAATTATTGAGCTTCTACTGTGTGTGTGTCACGAAATGGGCACTGAGGATGGAAAGTGTCCCTTCTGGAGCTTGTCCTGGGTCTGCTGACAATGAGGTGGCTTTACTGAGACTAGAACCGAGCTGGGAAAGCTGGAAGGGGGTGCAGGTACCTCCGATTAAGGAAGGGTTCACAGGGCACAGAGGGGGAGGACATTAAGAATAGCAAATGTTTGAGTCCTTGGTGTGTCAGTCAGTGTTTAAGTGCTGTACATGCATTAACCAAGTGGTTCTCAACCAAGGGTGGTAATGCCTGCCCTCTCCCTGGGATATTTGGAAATTGGGAATTATTTTAATAAATGTGTTTTTTTGTTTGTTTTTTAAAATATATTTTTATTATTGATTTTTTTACAGAGAGAAAGGGACAGGGATAGAGAGTTAGAAACATCGATGAGAGAGAAACATCCATCAGCTGCCTCCTGCACACTCCCTACTGGGTATGTGCCCACAACCAAGGTACATGCCCTTGACCGGAATCGAACCTGGGACCCTCGAGTCTGCAGGCTGACACTCTGTCCACTGAGCCAAACCGGTCAGGGCTGGGAATTTTTTTAGTTGAAGTGGTGGAGAATGTCACCAGGATTGACAGCGATGCCTAATGTTCCACAGTGAAGGGCTGCACAATGACGAAATGTCCCGGCCAAAAGGTTAGCATGCCCTTTTATTGGCATGATGACCTAGTTTAAGCCGGACAATAGTCCTGAGAAGTGGGTACAGCTATTACTCCCACTCTGTGGCTGGAGAAGCTGCGGCTGAGGGAAGTAACTTGTCCCGCATCATGTTGCTAATGAAGGGGGGAGTCTGGGTTTGAACCCAGGCAACGGGTTGCAGAGCCCAGGCTCTTATCCAGTGGATGTACTTTGCAGCCGCTCTGTTTTAAAGGGAGAGGCTTGTTTGTGGCTATGAAAAGTCCTAGTCAGTCCAGAGAAAGGTGAGAGTTCAAACAGAGCTCCATCAATAAAATCATCATCATCATTATTATTAGAGGATCATGCTTTCATGGCTGGAGAGTAGATTGGGATCAAACTGTGAAGGCCTTTTTTTTTTTAATATATTTTATTGATTTTTTACAGAGAGGAAGGGAGAGGGATAGAGAGTTAGAAACATCGATGAGAGAGAAACATCGATAGCTGCCTCCTGCACACCCCCTACTAGGGATGTGCCCGCAACCAAGGTATATGCCCTTGACCGGAATCGAACCTGGGACCCTTGAGTCCTCAGGCTGATGCTCTATCCACTGAGCCAAACCGGTTAGGGCTGTGAAGGCCTTTTTGGCTGTCCTAGGGTTGGGTTTCATCCCATGGGCAGTGAGAAGCTTTCGGAGGTTGATGTTTATGGAAGATGAGAGAAGGCCCAAGTCTGCAGTGAAGAGCAGTTACTCAGAGGTGCTGGCAGGAGATGGCGAGGCCCTCACTGGAGGATGGATGTGCTCATTCACTGTCAGCAAATATTTTTTGGGCACAAACTCTTCCCGGGTCTAGAGTCACACTGTTGAACAAGACCCCATCTTAGGTTGGAGAGGTAGGCAGGGCCAGATCATTCAGGGATTTTAATGTCACATTAAAGAGTTCGGGCCCTGGCCAGTGTCCACCAGTCAGGCGCGTGCAGGAGGCAACCTGTCCTGTGCACAGAAAGGTTGCAGGTTCGATTCCTGGTCAGGGCACATGCCTGGGTTGTGGGCTCCATCCCCAGTGTGGAGCGTGTAGGAGGCAGCCAATCAGTGATGCTCTCTCATCATTGATGTTTCTCTCTCTCTCTTCCTTCCTCTTTCTCTGAAAATCAATTTTAGAAAGAATTTGGATTTTACTTAAAATGAATGTAATGGGAAGGCAGTGGAGGATTTTTAAGCAGAGGAGTGACATGGTTTGATTGTGTCCCCATCTGGAGGCTGTTGCTGAGTTCAGAAGAGTGATGATGGTGCTTCCTCTGGGGTTATGGCAGTGGAGATGGTGAGAAAGGGTAAGACGTTTTTAGGAGGAAAAAGGGGAGCACTGCTGATGGGTTTGAATGAGGCTGACGGGGAGAAAAAGAATGAGGGTAGATTCTTGAACTAAATACGGTAACATCGAGAGAATTTATAGTGAACCTGCATTTATCCACTGTCCAGATGCTACAAATCTATCCCTGTAATCCTTAATCCATCTTATATTTTTGATGTATATTTTTATTTATTTTTAAATCTTCACCGGAAGGTATTTTTTTCTATGGATTTTTTTTTAGAGAGAGTGGAGGGGAGGAAGGACCAGGGTGGGGTGGGGGCAGGAGAGAGACACATAGATGTGAGAGAGACACATAGATGTGAGAGAGACACATTGATTGGTTGCCTCCTGCTTGCGGCCTGACAGGGCCAGGGATAGAGCCTGCAACTGAGGTATGTGCCCTTGACTGGGAATCGAACCTATGACCCTTTGGTGCCCAGGCCAACTGAGCCACACCGGCCAGGACTTGATGTAGATTTTAAAGTAAGTTGCAGACACAGTACACTTCATCCCTAAATATTTCCATTAGAACCCTAATCATTATAATTATAATTCAGTATTTCTTTACAGTTTATTTTATTTTATTTTTTCCCTTTAATCCTCACCCGAGGATATGTTTTTATTGATTTTTAGAGAGAGAGGAAGGGAGAGAGAGAAACATCAATGTGAGAGAGAAGCATCAATTGGTTGCATCCGTACACCCTCCAATTGGGTATCGAACCCACACCTTAGGTATGTGCTCTGTTTGGGAATTGAACCCACAACCTTTTGGTGCATGAATGACACTCCAACCAACTGAGCCACCGGCCAGGGCACAGATTTTTTCATTAGATAAAAATTACGTAAGATGAAATGTATGGATGTTATCTGATGAGTTGATGAGTTTTCACAAGTATATAACTAGGATGCCTCAGACCTCCATAAGATAGAGAACGTTACCATCACAAAACAGTGCCCCCATACCTCTCTGAGGTGAGGTCTGACCCTTACCCTCCCAGATGCAACTCCTAAAAGTGATAGTTTTAAAATGGGTGTAAGAGGGGACTACATTTTGGGGGGCTGTAGGGAGGGAGAAAGGTACCCAGGGCACCAGCCAGGCCTGAACAGTGACTCTGAGGCCTAGCACGTAGCACTGAAAGAGTGCGCTGAGGCAGTCTGTGTGTTCTGGCCTTGTTTTCTCAGTCTTCGCCTCTTACGTGGGGTCCGGGCTGGACACTGGGTGTTGTCCAAGGCAGAGCTGGGTGAACAGGCTCCCGAAGGACGTCTTCACCACGTGGAGGTCTGTCCAGCCACTGGTGGCACAGAAGACCGGGCTTCTTTGGTTGATTCCCAGTGAACATCTCATTAAAGGGTAAAAGGCTCTGCTGTAAACCCTTCCACCCAGATCTCCACTGCGACTCAACCGAAGAAGCTTGGTCTTCTGTGCCACCAGTGGCTGCACAGACCTCCACGTGGTGAAGACGTCCTTCGGGAGCCTGTTCACCCAGCTCTGCCTTGGACACACCCAGTGTCCAGCCCGGACCCGACGTAAGAGGCGAGACTGAGAA